TGCATCATCTGGCTATCAGGTGTGAGCCTTGCTGGGGGAGGTTCCCAGTACACACCTTCCATCTTCCTCGCCTGCCATTGGTTCCCGGGGAGGGAGGCCTCCTGGTTGCCTCGGTGACCAGGGGGTGGTCCTACCTCCCCTGGCTATAAAAACCTGGCCTGAGCTCTGGCTTATTGCTGAGTTATTCCACCTTATGGTGAACACCTAGCCTCCCTGCTGATCCTCCTATTGCCTGTTGCCCCTTTGTATCCTTCCCGATTACCGACCCTTGGACTGTCTTCCGCCTTTGAACCTTCGCTGCCTGCCTCGACCCGGATTGGACATTGACTACCCCTCTTGGATTATCCCTAAACTTGTACCGCGTTTCTGGACTGTCAGCTGCTTACTGCCAGTGGGTTCCTCATCTCACTACTAGCTCCCTGGGACATCTGACAGAACTTGACTGGCCGCACAGAGTCCTGACTTCAACCTGATAGAAGACCTTTGGGATGAATTAGAGCGGAGACTGCGAGCCCGGCCTTCTCCTCCAACATCAGCACCTGGCCTCACAAATGGTCCAACATTCCCATAGACACACTCCTAAACCTTGTGGACGCCTTCCCAGAAGAGTTGAAGCTGTTATAGTGGCAAAGGGCAATGCTAAACCCTACGGACTAAGACGAGGACCATTAATGTTCATGTGCGTGTAAAGGCATCCCAATACATTCGGCAATATAGTGTATTATGTGGTTAAGATCTCCAGGATCCATCAAAAGCCAACACATGGCCAAACATTAGTGTGCACCTGACCATCATAAATATATAAGCTTGTTGGACATCCCTTTCCAAAACCATGAACATTAATATTGAGTTGGACCCATCTTTGCAGCTATACCAGTCTCCACTCTTTTGAAAAGTCTTCCCACAAGCTTTTGGAGTGTGTCTATGGGAATTTGTGCACACTCAGCCAAAGGAACATTTGTGAGGTCAGGTACTGATGTTGGATGAGAAGACCTGGCTTGCAAGGGCCAATTCATCCCAAAGGTGTTCTATCAATTTGAGGTCAGGGCTCTGTGTAGGCCACTCAAGTTCCTCCACAACAAACCGGTCAAACCATGTCTTAGTGAAGCTGGCTTTGTACACATTGGCACAGTCATGCTTGAACAGAGAAGGCCGTCACCCAACTCTTGTTGTTTGCAGTACCTTTCACTTGAAAAAACACCTAAAATCAAACATTTGGAAGGGGGTCCACATGCACTTGGACATATACAGGGTTATTCACAAAAGGGTGAAGAGTTTGGAGAAGGCAGGAGAAGTGGACAATCTAGGACAACATAGCTAAACTGGAAAGTGAGCTGAATTGGATAATTTTTCCAGTTCAGCTATGTTGTCCTAGATTGTTCACTTCTCCGGCCTTCTCCAAACTCTTCACCCTTTTGTGAATAACCCTGTATGTGTATCAGGAGTGGACCCATTATATAAACACTCAAGACATAGCAATATCACCATCTTCTGACAAATTATCATCATGACAAAAGATCGTGCTGCAACATAATCAACTTACTTTCCGCCCGTTATGAATATGTCATCCCTGTTGTTGAAGAAGGTCAAAGCCAGGACATGTCCTGCACTGACCGATGATGCTGGGCTTCCACAGATAGGCTCCCCGGTTAACACGTTCCATAGGATGACACTAAAAAAATACAAATCTGACAGCTGACAAGGAAGTCAGGGGAAACCTGCTGCCCCTAAACTGAAAATACTATTGGTCAAATGCATTTCTTCTAAGGAGGCTTCTCCATGATAATTGAGAAGGTGAAAACTGGAGATGTAGCCATGGCAACTACTAAATGAACAGCTTGAGCCTTCACCGTCTGCTGCTTGTTACTGAAGTTCAAATCTCTGAAACGCACATCTGCCCTAATCAGAAAAGCTTAATTAGACTGCTGGACATCCAGTCTATACCTGAACAACAGGTCTGTGTGCTCATACTTTGGACTGTGTGACTTCTGTCTGACTGTCCATGTCTTGGATTATTCCTGAAAATTGTTTGGACCTTATCCTTATCATTGGCCTACTATTGTTAGTCTGTGCCCTACCCAGAGCTGCTTTCTTTAACGACTACTGGGAGGACATTTAAAAAAAAAATCTTTTGGAAGGCATAGACAAGACGGATGACAGCCATTCACCTCCAAAAAAATGCATGCTGTAAGAGACAAACAATATCTACTTACAGATATGAAATGAAAACATAGCACAGCAAAGACATAAATGTGTGAAGTCAGATCAGATACATTTGTTTTATAACAACTTCTGTACAAACAATGGGGTGTTCCTTCTAAGTGTGCATAACAAAATGGAGTCGGACTTGTTTTGCCTAAGGATGGCATCTGTAAACAAATTACTGATTCAAAGAACATTCCCAGGCTATGCTGTACTCTATCTCTGCCACATGACAGGCCCTGTACTCTATCTCTGCCACCCCAGGCTACACCGTACTCTATCTCTGACACATGACAGGCCCTGTACTCTATCTCTGCCACCCCAGGCTACACCGTACTCTATCTCTGACACATGACAGGCCCTGTACTCTATCTCTGCCACCCCAGGCTACACCGTACTCTATCTCTGACACATGACAGGCCCTGTACTCTATCTCTGCCACCCCAGGCTATGCTGTACTCTATCTCTGACACATGACAGGCTCTGTACTAGATCTCTGCCACCCCAGGCTATGCCATACTCTATCTCTGCCACCCCAGGCTATGCCGTACTTTATCTCTGCCACATGACAGACCCTGTACTCAATCACTGCCACCCCCGGCTATGCCGTACTCCATCTCTGCCACATGACAGGCCCGACGTACCTGCCGTCATCCTGGCCTCCAAGTGACACCAGGTACTGGTCATTTGGTGAGAATGACAAGGCCTCCACTTTAACTTTGTGCAGGGTCAGCTTGCCACAAGACTCTCTCTTAGCGTAATCCCACAAGAAAATGTCCGCCTAGAAAGATAAAAAATGTTCTATGTACAGAAGAAATGTATTAAAGCATCTGTGAGCCTAAAACAAAAATGTTCAATTACATTAAAAAAAGTTACTAACACCATAAAAGCCAATTTTGCATTTTGCATAGAGAAGGGAAGTGTAAAAAAAACCCTTTCAGGTACTTTTCTTGCCATCTGTGTCCCATTTGGGAGATTTGCCTTCACTTCCTGTCCTGTACACCCAACAAGAAGTGAAAGTAAATATCTCCAAAATAGGGGAAACTCTTAATTGTCACTGGAACATGTCTTCCCATTCCATAGATGGCAACTGTCCTGGATTTGTCGGAACATTACCGCATCTTGGACCTCTGCCCCGCCAATGCTGTCCCGGATCACAGCATCAACATTATTTTAGTTACCGCACATGCACAGTAACACAAAAAAGGCTTTCATTGTGGGAAATGGGGCTGCAAGAGTCTGAGCCCCGCATATTTAAAAGACAATTTACCCTTGCAGTGGAGCTACCCCTGCACTGCAAGTGTTAAATGCTCATTTTGTCTAGGGGGGCTCAAATGCAGCTGTATTACTCACCTGATCTCTGCACCTGCTGGCTCCCTTTCAGGCTGCTAGACTGGTCCCCACAGCATTTTCTCCCCTGGGCTCAGGCAATATAAGCACCACTGACATCATTATGTCTAACGCAGGTCTATTGACCTGCACTAGACATGATGACCCTGAGGGACATTCTACAGCTGGAGTGGAGGTGGAGGGAGGTGAGTGCCGACTGCCATGGGACCGAGGATCAGGTGAGTATATCAGAATTATTTGACCCCCCCCATCCAAGACAAAATTAGCACTTATACCTTGCAGTGCAGGGGCAGATCCTCTGCAAGGGCAACCCAAAAAGTCAGTGTGATGAGTGGTCCCCTCATATTTAAAGGCAGGGTCTGGGTGGGGCAATCCATAAAGTGGCCATGATTTGAGTGTGCCCACCAAAAAAAGTAGGTGGGCTAAAAGCAAATCTTGGGCGGGGGATTAACAGTATCTGGGAACCAGGAACATAATGTTGGTAAGTATGCCATAGGAGATTTCGCTTTCAGATACAACGGCCACCAGGCCAAATAAAGAGGGGAAATCTCCACAGCAGGGACACAAAAAAGAAACCTCACAGGGGTTCTAATCCTTCCCCACTCCATTCAAAACTAGAAGCAAAACGTTTTGGTTTTAGATAAACTTTAAGAATATTTTTGGAAAGTCCAGATGTTCCCATGAAAAATTTCGTGTTTGACATTCATGTGATTGCAGTACGGCCTATTGTGTGTTAACTGACATGTTTGCCTTTCCGTGCGTTGCGTTTTAGTGCGCTGTGTCGAAACAAATCATGCAAGCACTGTTTCTGCAGATCGCGCTGGACCGGAACACAGGCACTAATGTGCCTGGGTCCTGGGTGCGGGCGATCGCACTGCGGGGCGTGGCTGCGCTGCCATTGACTTCAATGCACCACCATGCCCCCTCCTGCCCCTGAACGGGGCTGGAGGTGTGTTCCAGAGGCCGAATGCTCTGGAACGCAGACTTTGTGGTGTCTCTTCTCTCTGCTGTCTCTTCTCTCTCTGTTGTCTCTTCTCTCTGCTGTCTCTTCTCTCTCTGCTGTCTCTCTCTCTGCTGTCTCGTCTCTCTCTGCTGTCTCTCTCTCTGCTGTCTCTTCTCTCTCTGCTGTCTCTTCTCTCTCTGCTGTCTCTTCTCTCTGCTGTCTCTTCTCTCTCTGCTGTCTCTTCTCTCTGAATCTCTGCCACCCCAGGCTATGCTGTACTCTATCTCTGACACATGACAGGCCCTGTACTCTATCTCTGCCACCCCAGGCTATGCCGTACTCTATCTCTGACACATGACAGGCCCTGTACTCTATCTCTGCCACCCCAGGCTATGCCGTACTCTATCTCTGCCACATGACAGGCCCTGTACTCTATCACTGCCACCCCAGGCTATGCTGTACTCTATCTCTGCCACATGACAGGCCCTGTACTCTATCTCTGCCACCCCAGGCTATGCTGTACTCTATCTCTGACACATGACAGGCCCTGTACTCTATCTCTGCCACCCCAGGCTATGCTGTACTCTATCTCTGACACATGACAGGCTCTGTACTAGATCTCTGCCACCCCAGGCTATGCCATACTCTATCTCTGCCACCCCAGGCTATGCCGTACTTTATCTCTGCCACATGACAGACCCTGTACTCAATCACTGCCACCCCCGGCTATGCCGTACTCCATCTCTGCCACATGACAGGCCCGACGTACCTGCCGTCATCCTGGCCTCCAAGTGACACCAGGTACTGGTCATTTGGTGAGAATGACAAGGCCTCCACTTTAACTTTGTGCAGGGTCAGCTTGCCACAAGACTCTCTCTTAGCGTAATCCCACAAGAAAATGTCCGCCTAGAAAGATAAAAAATGTTCTATGTACAGAAGAAATGTATTAAAGCATCTGTGAGCCTAAAACAAAAATGTTCAATTACATTAAAAAAAGTTACTAACACCATAAAAGCCAATTTTGCATTTTGCATAGAGAAGGGAAGTGTAAAAAAAACCCTTTCAGGTACTTTTCTTGCCATCTGTGTCCCATTTGGGAGATTTGCCTTCACTTCCTGTCCTGTACACCCAACAAGAAGTGAAAGTAAATATCTCCAAAATAGGGGAAACTCTTAATTGTCACTGGAACATGTCTTCCCATTCCATAGATGGCAACTGTCCTGGATTTGTCGGAACATTACCGCATCTTGGACCTCTGCCCCGCCAATGCTGTCCCGGATCACAGCATCAACATTATTTTAGTTACCGCACATGCACAGTAACACAAAAAAGGCTTTCATTGTGGGAAATGGGGCTGCAAGAGTCTGAGCCCCGCATATTTAAAAGACAATTTACCCTTGCAGTGGAGCTACCCCTGCACTGCAAGTGTTAAATGCTCATTTTGTCTAGGGGGGCTCAAATGCAGCTGTATTACTCACCTGATCTCTGCACCTGCTGGCTCCCTTTCAGGCTGCTAGACTGGTCCCCACAGCATTTTCTCCCCTGGGCTCAGGCAATATAAGCACCACTGACATCATTATGTCTAACGCAGGTCTATTGACCTGCACTAGACATGATGACCCTGAGGGACATTCTACAGCTGGAGTGGAGGTGGAGGGAGGTGAGTGCCGACTGCCATGGGACCGAGGATCAGGTGAGTATATCAGAATTATTTGACCCCCCCCATCCAAGACAAAATTAGCACTTATACCTTGCAGTGCAGGGGCAGATCCTCTGCAAGGGCAACCCAAAAAGTCAGTGTGATGAGTGGTCCCCTCATATTTAAAGGCAGGGTCTGGGTGGGGCAATCCATAAAGTGGCCATGATTTGAGTGTGCCCACCAAAAAAAGTAGGTGGGCTAAAAGCAAATCTTGGGCGGGGGATTAACAGTATCTGGGAACCAGGAACATAATGTTGGTAAGTATGCCATAGGAGATTTCGCTTTCAGATACAACGGCCACCAGGCCAAATAAAGAGGGGAAATCTCCACAGCAGGGACACAAAAAAGAAACCTCACAGGGGTTCTAATCCTTCCCCACTCCATTCAAAACTAGAAGCAAAACGTTTTGGTTTTAGATAAACTTTAAGAATATTTTTGGAAAGTCCAGATGTTCCCATGAAAAATTTCGTGTTTGACATTCATGTGATTGCAGTACGGCCTATTGTGTGTTAACTGACATGTTTGCCTTTCCGTGCGTTGCGTTTTAGTGCGCTGTGTCGAAACAAATCATGCAAGCACTGTTTCTGCAGATCGCGCTGGACCGGAACACAGGCACTAATGTGCCTGGGTCCTGGGTGCGGGCGATCGCACTGCGGGGCGTGGCTGCGCTGCCATTGACTTCAATGCACCACCATGCCCCCTCCTGCCCCTGAACGGGGCTGGAGGTGTGTTCCAGAGGCCGAATGCTCTGGAACGCAGACTTTGTGGTGTCTCTTCTCTCTGCTGTCTCTTCTCTCTCTGTTGTCTCTTCTCTCTGCTGTCTCTTCTCTCTCTGCTGTCTCTCTCTCTCCTGTCTCGTCTCTCTCTGCTGTCTCTCTCTCTTCTGTCTCTTCTCTCTCTGCTGTCTCTTTTCTCTTTGCTGTCTTTTCTTACCTCCACTGCAGCAGCTTCCCACGTGTATAAACGTGTATGAACTTCTAAACACTGTGTAAATTAACATAAACATAAATGAATAATATTCAGTATGACAATAATCAATTACAGTCCTTAGTAAATCCATGTAAAGTGCTTTTGTGCATAATCCACAGTGTGAAAAGATCCTCTGAAATAAAGTGCTCCCAACTCCCGATGTGTTAAATAACTGAGAACACACTCACCAGAGATCCATGAATCTGTCTCTCCTCTCTCCCTCTGTCTCTTCTATCTGCTGTCTCTTCTCTCTCTCTGCTCTCTCTCTGCTGTCTCTTCTCTCTCTGCTGTCTCTTCTCTCTGCTGTCTCTTCTCTCTCTGCTGTCTCTTCTTGATCGG